TATATATATATGAGAAATGTTATAGAAACATATTTTTTTTATACCTAATTTTTTAATTATTAACTGAAATTTATTTGAAGTTATAATATCGCATGCATGGATTTCATTTTTTGTTTAAAGATTCTCTCTTAATTTTATATTTTTTTAATAAATTTTAGTCAATTATATATAAATTATGTATTAGTGGAAAAGTGTAAGGTCATACATAATCAATCAACCCTCAATTTGAGAGTTAATCTTACCACGTGGTAATGAAGATAATAGACAAAGGGAAAAAAAAAACTAATTATAACCACAAATAATGCAATTTGACTATGAGCTATATTCCTTCAAAATCAGTTTTGATATTGATTATCTGAAATGCATTATTATTCCTAATTATTTCATCTCTAACAAATGAGGTAAACTCATGAAGGAGTTCTAACAAGATATAACATAATTAATAAATAATTCTAAATAACCTTATTTCTTAAGTAATATGTCGTCATAATTTTTATTCCTTATCTATATATATATATATTAATTAAAGATGTTAACTTCTTAAATGAATTTCATTTCAAGAAAAGAGATGAAAATGATATTGTTTGGTTTAATTGGTGATAAAAGCACTTTTTGGTCAAAATCAGAAGGTCTGGATAGATACAATTTTTCGTAAGCATTTTTGAAGATGAAATTAAGAAAAAAAATTTATTTTTGAAATTTTTAGTTTACCAAACCATTGACATGTATGCCTATCTGTTGGGTAAAGGGAAGCTTGGGCATAGCTCAGATGACTTAAAGAAAAAAATTGAAAAATAAAAAATAAATAAGAAAAAGAAGAATGAGATGACCTCATGTATAGTAATGTATATCAGTATATATATAATTTATAATCTATATCATTAATAAAAGAAATATCTTATTTTAATTTTTTTATTTTATTTTGTTTTTTAAATTTCTTAACGAATTTGTTGAATTGTATTTTTTATCTTTTAACTAATTTATTTAATTACCTTACTATTTTGAAATTAATGATACATTTTTTTAATTTTATTATTTATATTTTTTTTATGACAGAATGTCTCATTTTCATTGGTATTAGTAAAGAGGTATCTTATTTTGGTGTTCATTTTAAAATCTTTTTACTCCTTAAATAATTTATTTAAATACCTCATTATTTTAAAATTAACTGCATATTTTTTTTTAATTTTTTATATTTTTTTATAACGAGGTGTCTCACTTTCACTGATATAGGAATAAGATTGATCTTTCGTCTGTTGGGCCTACTAATTAATTTTGGAGGCTGCAGGTTTTAATTTTGCAAAGGACGAAACTCATTGTTACATCCATCTCTTATCTTTGGATCATGCTAGGCCCATTGTATTAAGTATTGAAATATTTTTATAGATAATATATATCTTATTTAAGTAGATTCTACAATAGAATTTGTTAGGAAAATATTTGAATTTGTTTCTCTTATAAATATATTATATTCATCTATCAATAGTATGAAAGAAAAATATCAATATTAATTTTATTTTAATGTAACTTTCTAATAATAAAATTTTAAGAATAATAATAGGATAATTTTTAACTTCCTATCACTCCCACTCGGCATACCCAAGTGCTGATTGATCTTAGGTTTCATTATTCTTGAGATATATACAAAATTAATAGTCCTTCACTCCTTTTTTTATTTCTTTTTATTTCTTTTTCTTTTTTTATTTTTAAGTAAAGATGGTGCTTCACTCCTTTGATACCGCACAATTTTTAAAAACGTTTATTATACTAGTACTAGTATTAAATCGAAGGCCATTTTGTAAGAATTCGAGAGTACAAGATTTGTATCGATGATTTTTTAAGTTATATCTTTCCATTTATTTTAAATATCTTATACATTAAAAAAAAAACAGATATTTTATTGGAATAAGACAAAGCAATCAACAATCTCTCGAGCAAAACGAAAAGAGGAGGGAGCATATTAAAAACAACTCACAACATAGCCTGAACCTCGAAGGATAAAGACTGATATGCAAAATTGCATTTATAGTTTTCACCATATATATCTAATCTCTGAAATGATAGAATTTAATCACATGAAATTTAACTGTGACACTTTCAAAATTGTATAAAATTAATTAATCTATTCTATACTTTTTTTTTTTCTTTTTTATATTTTATATATTTGGAACTACTTTCAATGTTAGATTAAAATTAGATTTTTTTTTTAGTATATCGAGATCTGAACTATCTTAGTTGAATGTCTTCCCAACTTCCACTCTCTGATTGTAGCCTAAAGGAGGAAAAGTGGTGTAGCTAGGATGAGAAACCGCCGTAGTAGCCAAAGAGAGTTCGCAATCAAGTTTAGTCTTGAAGTAGAATATGATTGAAGAGAGTCACAAATAGAAGAAGCGATCAGAATTAGCACTTTTCATTAGCAAAATCTTTAGTCACAGTACAGCACCAGAAAAGGCTACAGGACCAAGTACATTCTACTCCTGTAATTCACTAATTCTTACATTTTATTTTATTTTTATCTATTCAACTAACATCCTAATTCCTAAGTGACCATCTAAACTCTAATTGATCAACAATACCAAAATTTGGTATGAGTTGGACGCACTCGACTCTTGTCATTCATATGATCAAATAAAACTATTTTAGCTTCTGGAGATGTTTTCCAAGATAGAAGAAGCTGGCTATATCGAGGTGCGTCTGCTCTGTATAACTTAGTACGGCCATTCTTTGGTGTGACGAAAACAAGGGCCTCCAGATTAGTTGCTTTATTCAGAAGGATCTTTACCAGTTGAAGTTCAGACTGCAGAAACTTGAAACCCTTTAGCCTAATATATTTGAGCCTATCGAAGTAGTGGTCCAATTTGTCCAGCTTAGGCTTCTGATGCAGCTCCCAATATACTCCACACTCGAAATTGTAATCATTCATCTGAAATATAGTTTCAAGTCAGCTTTAACACAATCAGAAATTGAAGAGAAACTGTATTCGAACAACTATAGTTAAGAACTATTGTAAACCAAAAGTACACTCCTGATCTTTAAAATTAATACATCAATAGTTAAGAACAATTTGTTAATTAATAGTATACTCACATCGATGAACAGCCGTTCCAGGAGTGGACAACGCATCATAAACATGACAATATCATATGGATTGCAAAAGAGTCCTCCCTCCATCATCAACTGAAGCTCCTTGAGATTCAAGAAGCTGTAGTTTGCTTCTCCAAAAACCCCACGACGAAACTTGGTGGTCAAAGCCTGAATTCCAATTTTTCAAAGAAAAATGGCATCATCAAATCATCAAAACCACAAAAGTGGCAACAAATGCAACACAGCAACCAGTATTTTAACAGTTTGTGACAACAATTTCCACACAAAGCAAGATTTTTTGAGTATTTGCTACTGCAATTGTGGTTACATCAACAACACTTTCTCATACCATTATTCGAAATTGAATAAAATGACAAAGAATTCACAGATGTACTTAACTAAAAATGAACACGTGCATGATATATACCTCAGGAATAAGAGCTGTGGTGGTCAGAACCGTGACGTTAGGTATATCAGTAACCAGTTTTTCCATTTCAGACACCGGAAGGTATCTTCTGTTGCCAGCAGGCTCAAAATTGAAGAAGGCCTCATTCAATTGAGCAGCATCAACAATTCGGATTCTAGGTATTGGACCACAGTAGTGCACAGAGCGAATAGTTGGGGAATCAATGACAAGCACTTCCAAGTGTCTGCAGGCTGCGATTCTGAACTCCTTGAATTGTCTATGGTCCCTAGCATTGATCTCAACACGGGAAATTCCACTGCAGTGAAGCAAATCAATAGTCTGAAGGCACTTACAATTGGCTATCAAAGTCTGAAGAATGATTTCGGGGAGGGGGACATGCCACAGAGCGAGGTTTCGCAAACGAGTGAGCGTTGGAAAGTTATGTGGCAAATCGAAGTCACAGTGGACGAGCTTCAAGGTTTTCAATTCCGTTAGGGCTGCGAGAGTTGCAGCGGAAAGAGAGTGGCGGCGGAAAGAGTGTAGCCGTATCTGAGAAAGTAGAACTCGAGATGCTGGATTTTCTTGGTGATGCAAAGTTGGAGCCACTTGTGGATAAAATTTTCAATTCCAACGGGGTCTATGTGGAGGTTAAAAGTTAGGATCTCATTTCCCCTATGTGTGTTGAAGACACGATCCACCACTTGAACGAGGTAGTCTCGGTTGTATCGAATCGCAAACTCTCTTCCGAACACGAGGTTACGGTTGAAATCAATGGAATGTTTGAAGGTGGAGGAGAGTGTGCATATCTGTGTGGCCTCTTTGTATGGTAAGAAAGAGAAAATATAATCGATAACATTTTCTGGGAGGTTATGGGAAAGAG